TTTTTTCCCCCCCCCCCCCTACCGATTTACGTTTACGAGAATGCAGATATCAAGAATGAGAAGACAGGAACAAGATCGTTCTTGAAGAAGGGTGTATACGTGGCAGATATTGGGACGAAGAACAGAAGGTACAGGATCAAGAAGAATGCTTTCGATCTTTTAGCGATGGAGGATTTGATCGAACCGGACAAGTTGAACTATGTCAGGAAATATTTGCGTCTTAAATCGACGTTTATGTACTACGACTTCGACAATCTCATATCAGCCGCCGCAGCTGAGGACAAGCAACCCCTCACCGATTTCGCCAACCGACTGTTTGACAATTTGGAGAAGGTACGTCCCCTCCCGGTTTTCTTCAAACCGGATTGAACGGTTATCGAGTAATTCATCTCGGTTTGATTTTGACACAGCTGGAAGATGCTGCCAAAACGAAGAACTTTCCTGAGACGGAATCGTGTTACAAAGAAACGAAGGTACTTCTTCAAGATGTTATGGCCAAAATGGCATGAACCGGTTTATCTGGTTTTTCATTCGTCCTATTATGATGGGAAAAAAATAAAATAATTTCATCTTTGTTAAAATGTCGTCCAATATGAATATTATTTTAAATAATTACAACCAGTTTTAGTCACAGACATTTCACATCACATTCCATTATTGAATATTCCTCCAACTAACTGAACTTGCAATACAAAAACATGGTTTTTTTAATTTAATTTACTTAAACCGGTTTAATTGGGTCTTCCACTTTCTAGTTCATGAACATCCACAGAGCTCATGAAGAAGCAAATCCAAGTTCTTCCAAGACGAACCACTCCCTTCTTCCATAGACTTTTTGGCCATTTCAGCATATTCCTTCACCTTCTCTCTCGCCATCCTTCCCTTCTCCCCCTCCATCAACTCTTTCACCTGTCCAAATCATGCATAGTAGGATTACGTTCACATTCTAAATGTATGTGTGTATATATATACACACACACTTATATAACCGATACCTTTTTACTCAATTCCTCCCTCCCCACGAACCCTTTAACCGACCCGTCTTCGGTTTCAACCCTCACTCCGATCTTCAGCTCTTCCACGAGCATCTTGGCGTTAAGGGGCTGCTCGGCCATCATCGGCCATGCAATGACGGGGACGGCCGCGCATATAGTTTCCAGAGCGGAGTTCCATCCGCAATGGGATAAGAAGCCTCGAACGCTGTCGTGCCGCAGTATCTCCCTCTGGTCCACCCATTCTCTCACTACCATCCCTCTCACTCTCTCTTCCAACCCTTCTTCTACCTCTCCCATGTCTCTCCTCGTCACCCACAGAAAGTTCACCTTGCAACACAGAATTCATTCCATCATGTATATATGTATATGCATTAAAACATATCTTGAATATCTGTCTGAACCAATTTAGTATAAAAAATCAGTGCGTGATATGGTTCCTAATTCACCTCGGAGTGCTCCAATCCCAACGCAATTTCCTTGAATTGGTCGTCAGAGATCTCGGCTTGTGTCCCGAAGGCCACGTAAAGAACCGGACGTCCCTCCTCTAGACTCCGGTCCAACCAACGGATCCATGCCGGTTTATCACCGGTATGGTCGTTATCCGGTTTCATTGGCGGCTCGGATAAACAAAATGGGCCAACACACCAGGCCTTGGGCCCACCCATGCGCTGACGGTAGTCAACGAAAACGGGCTCGAGCTCGTAGAAGGTGTTTGTGATAACGCCTTGGCTCGTGCTCGTCGACTTGATCTGCTCCATCACGAGCTCGAATAACGGACCCGAGGGACTTGGGTCGGTGAAAACCGGATCCAAATCCGACTTTCTAACCCGGATCCAAGGAAAGTCCGGTACGGCAACCGGTTCGACCGGTTGGGGCTGGGAAAAGAGCTCGTTTAACCTGACGGAGATGGACACAGCCCCGGAGTAACAGTTCATGCCGTAGAAGGCCAATCTGGGAATGTCGAACTTGGAAGCAGAATCCGAAATCCACCAGAGAAACCCATCGGAGACGATGAAGGAAACACGAGGGAGATTGAGGAGAGAGTGTTCGAAGAAGGGTTGGAGAAGTTTGGTGGCGCGAGTGAAGGGGACGAAGAGGGACATGGAAGGGAGTTTGTCGGTGCTCTCGACGCCGGGAGGGATTCCGGGGATGTTTTCGGGGAAAGGGAGGGAGATGATGTTGGCGTCGGGTGTGTCGGAAAGGGATTTTGATACGAAGGGTTCGTTCTTCGGTGTGGTGAAGACGGTGACCGTGATGGGTTTGTCTCTGGAACGTCCGTGACGGAGGAGGAGACGGCCGAACTGGAGAAGAGGGATGGTGTGACCTTTCGACATGTATGGGAACAGAACCACGTGGTCCGACGAACCACCTGCCATTCTCTCTCTCTCTCGTTTGTATGCCCTTAACCCTCTTGAGTCACCGCCATGGCATTTATATGGTAAGTTCCAAAAGGGGATATGTCAATCTATTTAATAATCAACCGTGAATTTAAGTCGTCTTAAAAGAGATGGTCCTCCACGTCAACTTACTCTATTTGTTTTGAGTACACAATAATTTTGGTGTGAATCTTCGGACAAGTGTTTTCGTCAGCATCTCACGAAAGCAAAAACTCTATGCTTCTTCTAGAAGCAAATGTTCTGTTAAAAAAAAAGTACAATTGTAGAAAACGAAAACGCTTCAAAACTCTAACAAAAGTTTGATTCTGAATTTTGGCGCACAGTAATATAATTTTTCAATGTATAAAATTTAATTGATTCATTAAGCAAAAATGGAACACGTAGCGTGATTTGATGACTCTTGCATGCATAACGAGTAAAAGAAACGATAAAAAGTGTGTTTTTTGATATTACACCAATCAATATGTACGTACAAGTACAACTGCTTTGTATATCCTCTTTCGTGGTCGTGGCAACTATTAATTAGAATGTGTGCAACTTCAAGAAAATTAATGGAAACAATTTCAATAAAACTCCGCCGCCTGTCCTCTCTTTCACTTTCCGTGGAACCAAACACACATTCTGCAAGCACGGATATGGGATTTAGCCTGAGGAGAAGTAATAACCCTTCATTCATTTTATAATAATCGTCGCAAAAAAGGAAACCTACTTTTGACGTTTTCCCAATTGAGTGACCGATAGATACTAAACCACCTTTGCCTAACTATGCATCTACATCCATCGATTTTTACATATCCAATACAAAGATGGAATTGCGTCTCTCTTCTCTCTCTCTCTCCCCGAAGCTTGAGCTTTACAAGGAGGGAAGTGAAAAACCATACAAAAAAAAGGGGAATTTTAAATTACATAAATAGCGCCAAAGCAATAGGCCAACCAAGTGAAGAAAAAGCAAACTAAAACGCGAGTGGATCTGTCCAACGCCATCACGCGTTACCCATCACTCAAAACAAGAAAAGGTTACGTCGATTTCAAAGCTATACGCATTCTCCTTCTTTTTTTCTACGTATAAAGTTGAGCTGACTCACTGTAGTGCCCGTCTTGTTCACAATGCCGAACACAAGTGTGTGGTGGTGGTCTCGAATATACGTCTCTTTGTATTTGTTTCTTGTAGATGATGAGAAAGATCTAATAACCCACGTAATATTACTGACTATAAATAAGAAATGGATATCTTGTGTGATACATGTAACATTGGGCCCCACATTCTTTTGACACGTTCACATATGGCGCAAACGCCTCGCCATTCGATTCCTTTTCACCTTTAGACTATACTTTTTGCATGATACATATATTTTATAATACCGAACATTTTATCCGACTAGATCTGTCACAGAAACGGAGAAGTCCATGTGAATATCCCTCCCAAAATAAAACTCGAATCCAGATTAGAGTTTTGTTTTTTTATCTTACGGTTGAATCACCCAATCTTAGATTTGCATCATCACATATTTTAATACGTTATTTTCTCTATTTTCTCAAAAAATAAATAAATAAATAAGGGGTTGTTGTTAGTGCATTAATTAGGACACAACAGCAGACAACTCTGTTAGAAATGGTGTATCATATTAATATTTCTATGCTAGTGTATGTATTTGAATTTTCTTTTTACTAGGTCCAGAATTCGTACTTGGGTTTTGACAGTTCTAGACCAGGTTATGGAACTTGACAACGTAACTGACAACTAAATCATTCAACAAGACATCTGTAACTATGCTTGTTACACGTGTTGTATTTAAAACTTAAAATGAATCTTATTTCATACTTCGTTTTAATTCGAGGAATCATCACCCGTAAGCATCAAGGGATGGACGAGTCGTGTATTCCATCCGGCAAAATAAAAAACGTCATCAGATGCATGACATACGAAAACCACACCTCATGAACTTTTGACGACGAAAACCACATCAGATGAATTGGATTCGAACTTAGAACACAGAGACGACCACTGAAGTTTCCAGCAATCCGACTAATTTTGCTTAACCAAAAGTTCAAATGTATTTCACGGTCTCTTGGTATATACACACACACACAAACGCGCACAAAAACAAGAACGACGGGGAAAGGTGGGAAAAGAAACCTCAGAAACAAGACACAAATAATGGGATTTGCTCTCTCTCTAGAAGAGCACTTAAATGTGATAAGAACAGAAAAAGAGTTAAAAAAAACAGTAGAAGAAGAACAAGAGAGGAGGGTGATTTTATCGGTACTCACAGGTGAAAAAGCGATCTTGGTTGGCGTCATGACTCCGTAACGAGACCCTCCCGGGAAGCCACGTTGGCATTGGTGACACGTAGAACGGCCTGTGCGTTTAGAGGGGAGAGTTTTGATTGGCAGAAGACCTCCCAGGTGGTTGCCTCCTCTGGATTTTCCATCGACATCTCCTGTTCCATAAGTTGAGTTTTTCCGTACACGCTCTGCAGCTCCAGTAGTACCGTACGGGCTGCCTCACGTGATTCGGGCAGCTGGTCGCTGAGCTGAGACGCTGCTGCTTCGATTAGTTTGTCGATTCCGTATTCTCTGACGCCTTCGACGCCCTGATCATGGAAAAAAAATGTCGTTTGAACAGATAAGCAATGGAAAGAAGGATGAGTGATCTATGAGGATAACGGAGGTTACCAGTCGGGGAACGCTTCGAGAAAAGCACATGGCAGCCTTAGCGCGGATTCGAGGGTTCTTATTCTTGAGACAAGGTTGCAGCTTTGGCAGCAGCAAGGTAGGGGAAACATATGTGGTCATTGCTACTAAAGCCTTCTCTGCTGCCTCGCAAACAAACCGCTTGTCTTGGGAGGATTTAAGAAGGAGCTGAGTAAGCTGCAAGACCGGAACTTAAAATACTATCAACATCATTTTTCACCTACCTATCTGATGGGTATTTCAGAAGGTTAGATTAGAATAAACAGATAGAGAGATAGCCTCAAAACGGAGATAATAATTACCAGAGGATCCAACAAATCCAATATATGGTCATTATATGCACTGAAGACGTCTGCCGATGTCATACACGCAGTCTTACATACAGCGCTTCTCGGATTCTTCAGTGATTTCACAACGAGTGGGATCACCTTTTCCCTGTTAAGGCAAGCAGCCAACATCATAAGGCTAACATTTAAGTCAAAGTACAAAGAGATAACCATGCCATTGTCACCAGCTAGAGAATGTTGCTTACATCATATGCTGCATTTCTTCCTTGTGGAACATAGACAGCCGGCGAACGTTATTAAGCGAATCACAAACCGATACCCAGTCCTTGGAGTCCAGTCCAGGAAGAAGTGACTGAAAAAAACAATACAAACATATTCGTCTCAGGTAAACATCTCAGTCCACAATTCAACATAGAAGAATATAAAAATTGACCACATTAAAAGGGCTGCCGATGCATGAGACCACAGAGTAAAGAAGCAGGAAGGAATAGTACATTCAGAATAGTGTCAACATTGCTTATGTCAGTTAATTCTTCAGATTCAATGTACTCCACTTCCGCATTAGCTTTTTCGGACTCTGGCTTCTCTTTTCCAAAGCCCTCGGGATTACTGGTATCTAAGGAGCTAGAGTTTTGTGATGGGATAGCTTCAGCTTTTTCATTCACCTTTCCCACACAGGGCTTGGTTAAACCCCCTTTACAGTCACTCTTCCTCTCAGACACAGGAAGATTATTCAAATCCTTTAAAGCATCTCCAGCCATTTCAAGAGTTAACTGCATAGAAAAGACACCAACCATTATCAACAGAAATTTCATCCTTGATGCATATTAGCAGGTATATGTATTAATGGAGATTATAGTTTCCGCTAGAACACTGCAAATCAATGAAAGATCAAGTGTGCATGGGAAAACTGTTGTTCAAGAACGAATTGAAACTTGGAAATGTAAAAGAAAAGACAGTTATGAAAGAGGTTCAGAAACATCTATAGAAACAATGAAGATCAATTCCGCAAAAGATACCACGTATCTGACACATTATTCAGATTGCTTCTCTAATAACAATCTCAATGGTGATTGCAATAACACCACACCTAAAAAATGAAATACTTCATCATGTCTGAGAGACATCACATAACCGGATTACCAAACAGATAAATGCATGCTGTTTAGATTAAGCAGACCGCAGATGCCGCCTTTAATAAAAGGATAAAAGTTTCTATCAATTCGTTCTGGCTTCCCTCACCATCCAATAAGTGCATCAGACAAAACTCCACAGACAAATACGGTTAAGGACTTGAGATAAGGCGTGTCAGACAGAATCTTTTGGAAACCGTGCATAGATCTAGATGAGCTCTATATCCCCAGGAGTTTAAATCCATCTACAGGATCAACCAACTCAAAGTCATAAAGAACAGAAAAAATTGATAAGAGTACATAGAAAAGACAAATTCGCATCTCTCCCACTAGTAACCAGAGTCGAATAAAACAAGCCTGCTTAGTGTTCGATCCAATAAGACAGGAATCCCAATCTGATACTTCCTCTACTCCAGCGAGAAACACTCGACAAATCTCACAACAGTAACAACAGTACCAATCTATGCAATCACCGACAAACGGAAAATCAACACTAATCAATGCTGCAGAAGTTACACTTCTCCACTGCACTTACTGTATAAAATTAAGTCAAAATCGAACCAATTCAATAGCAAAAGCAAACCGAAGCAGAGATCTAGCTTCCAACAAGTATTTCAAACAATAGCAAAACCGACAAAAACATGATCTCCCTCGAGAAGCCGCAGAAGATCTCGATTATTTCAGAAAAACCACCAGATTCCGAATCCGATTCCGATAGTCCAGATAATTCCGAATTCGCGATACGCATACGGAAACCAAAACGACATGTTCAAACTTCAACATACAGATACAAAAATGGAGAGAGAGAGAGTACCGGCGAATAGAGAGCGGTAAATCGGTTCCTTTCCGCAACAAACAGGGGAGAGAGAGTGAAAATCAGTAGAGTCGAAGACCTCACTCCTAATTTCGGGAAATTTTTTTGAAATGCGGGAGAAAGAGAGAGCGAGAGAGACTTTATTTGTCGAAGACGAAAATAATAACCGGCGATCGCTTCCCAATCGTACTACTCGTATATCCTGGATCTAAAACGTCACCGTTTGAAAGTTGAAATTGGTTGCACATATTTTTATTTTATTTTTCTCATTTTTTAAATTTGCTTTCCACATGCGCTCGGAATTAATGTGTTCCTTTCGGTTAGTGTCATTTCCCAAAATATCCTCCAACGGGATCCATTATTTCCATATTACCTGTCTTTAGATTTTTTTTAGCGCTAACTCATGCGTGATTTAATTTCCTTCTCTTATAATATATATACTCATTTCATCCCGTTTCAAAATATTTATTGTTTTAAATTATTTCACATTTTTTTAAAAAATTAATTAAAAATCATATATACTTATATTAATATAAAAATAATACAATCATTAATAATGTATTTGAATTTCGTAAAAATAAAATTAGAAACTATTATAAAAAATATCTTGAAAATATAAAACTATAAATATTTTAAAACACAGAAAATAACCTAAAATTATAAATATTTTGAAACGGAGGGAGTAGCTTTTTTTAAATTTGGATGAGGATTACGTGAGTCCACAAATAAATCAAAATAGACAAATTTAGACGGGACAGTTTAATATGATTGTATTTCTGCTGGAAATATAATTTTGGTAAGATTATCTCTGATATCACCATAAATATTTTAAAATCTAAATGATAAAGAATATAAAAATGCGTACATTATGGCTTCACCTACAGAACGCTGTGCAGATGAATATAGCAAAAAAAATGTATATTATTCTTTATAGTATAAACTGGAAATATTTTTAACAAATACAGTCAAATACTTACATGATTTTTCCATATTCGTCATAAATAATATTGGATATATATAACATCCCGTGAGTTTTTCTTTGGCACAACTAATCAATGACAGTTTTGGTAGATAAGAACGCATGTCTCGTAATTCATAAAGGAAAGAAAAAAAAAACATGAATGGCGGTGGAGAATCGAGGGGTAAGATTGGAAAACGTTAAATTATGAAAGCTGGCACCCATGTCTGAATCTAACGACTGTTTGATTGACGCCATAGGCGTAACGTGTAGTAACCTTCCCCATAGCCTCATTACACAAAAACAAAATAAAACCTACAAATTTATATAGAATTAGCATGCACGGTTCACTGTATTTGTAGATTCTTACGCATTAAATTGTCACTTCATGTAATTTTTCATTGCGCATTTGGATTGCATTATATGCTTATCTGGGTGGCGTTCAACGTTTTGGATAAGAAATGGGTTATCTTTTGCTTGTGTGTTCTACGTATGGTGTTACGATCTTATTAGAATATGGTGATGAGTTTGGGTTCGTAGTTTTGATTGAGATGAGATAGGAGAGAATTATACTCCAAAACTGTATTTTTTTTTATAACCGTGGAAACCCATCGCCGCAGCCCTTCACGTCAGACACCGAACCCACCAATTCCACTGACAATGGACCATATGGCATATTTCGGACAGTAAATCCCTCGGTCCACATAGAGCAGATAAACCATTCGAAACTGGTCCGGTTCAGAGAAAACTCAGACAAAAATAATCGAACCCAAAATTGTATTATTTATGCTCATCTTTTCGACGAATCAGTGTTAAGTTCGGTGATGATAACATTGTTCGTCCTTTCTTCCCCCTAATTGTCGGGACCAGGTTAATTGAAGACCAGCGATCAACAGCCTACTCCCACAAGTTCCACTGACAACGGACCGCATGGCAACTACTGTAGTGAAGCTTGGTAGTATGGTAACCATCAATGGGTCTAATATTGGGCCTGGAAGGCCTTGGGAGTTCGTTAGGCATTTTGACAAAATTAACTTGGGTCTTATGGGCCAGAGTTCCTCTATGGGATTTTAAATATCAGGCTGTATTTGGGTCTGCACCTGAATTATAAAGCCTGATGGGCAAATTACAAATTACAGTATAACTTGGGTTAACATGGGCCTTACTGTTGGGCCTGATATGTTAAACAAAATCTCTTGTTATCGCTGGTGGGCTTGAACGGGCCCAAAACTGTATTTGGGCCTTTTTCTTTTTAGGATCCTGAGCCTTCTGTTGGGTTAGATTCTCGCTTAACGGGTCCCGCCAGTGGGCCTGATGGTTACTAATTGGGAAACTTTGAGCCTACAAATTGGGCTTGGTCCGACTGAAATAAGATTGACAAAGTAATTGGGCTAGTGGGCAGGAGGCGGTTGAAGATTCGCCGATCAGTTGAAACCTAGGGAAGAGAAGCGAAAAAGTGGAGATGCAAATCACCTGGACCGTGAGAGATGGAAAATGTTCTAAACCGCGCAGCTCGACTAGGTGAGAGAGGATTATCCCTGGGAACATCACGCGTGAGAAAAGCGCGTGGAATCCACCTATGGGCTCATAAATTCCTTTAAACAGCCCTTCCATAAAAATTCCCGATAATTACGCAGCAACCTCTGAATCTCCTGCAACTTCAATACATAAATTTGGGTCGTGCAGATGTTCCAGGTTGCTTCCTCTGCAAGAAACCTAGAACCGGGTCATGAACCCTCTTAGGCTCAAAGGATAAAAAAAAAAGAGACACTGTGAGGGGAAGGGAGGGTGAAACGTTAAGGGCGGTGGTCCAGGAGGCCGCATTCGAGTCTGATGGCTTCAATGAGTTGAGGTGAAACAGGAAGAAGAGGGTCAACTCCCCTTCTTTTCCGCGATGATATGACGCTTCTGCTCCTTCCTTTTATGTTATTGTTAGGATAGAAGCAGCTGCTGCTGCCTGTGTCTTCTGCTCCCCATCCTCTGTAGAGTATCACTTTGCTAGGTTCTTGTGATACAAGCATCGCTCCTGTTGCTTCCTGCATTGTTACAAAACTCAAAATTGATGTGGAACATAAAAGAACTGTGCTAATACGAGAGATGGAATGTCTCATATGATTATCACACAACACACATTATGGGACTAACACAGGCTGCCCGGACACTGAATATTGCACCACTTACCTTCAGCTTCGAGACGACTTCTTGGACTGACGTTCCTTTGGCTCTGCCTTTTACATTGACAATTGCCAGAGGGTTCTTCTCAAAGTGTGTCCTGAGAGCTTTCGCTATGCCGGTAACAACGTTGCTTCTCCCTAGACAGTCAAAGTTTACATACATAAACATTTATAAAACTTTTTGTTCTGTAGGGTAAATCCATCAGGACAAACTGTAGAATCAATTGAACTCTCTAGACTCTTGCTAACAATGCAATGCATGCTTAAGGTTTCTCTGTGGTTCATTTCAAGTCCTTCGTGAGTATATTTTATTCTGTTTCCAAGTGTAGCGATAACCATTAGAGACGAGATGCATGTAGCATGGACATCCACAATAAACACTGATTAGGCAGAAACCAGTAACTTACCTACTGGATTTAAGATGTGAATCATGTGATTCTTCTAAGTGCAGCAAAGAGCATTAGGCACTCAGGGTCGATAACTTACCTACTGCAAACGGTGGCCGCTTCTTCATTTTAAGGGCTTGTTTTCTCAGAATAAGTCTTTCTCTATTAGACAAATCTGTGGGCCCAGAGGTCAACCAGTTAGCTTCGGTTTCACTGTCCACTGGATCTGATATTTGTGGTTCAGGTGATGATTTTTCAAGTTTTTTCCGACCAGGTGAACTTTGCTCGGCTGTCAGAGAGGTGCTGCTGCTTGGCTGAAACCCGAAAAATGGTACCAATTAGATAAATACAGGTACATCATTACAACATTAAATATCACAGAAAGAAAAGATCTCAGATATCACCATGAGGTTGTTATAGCGTGATGATGTCTTGAGGAAATCACGCTGTGCACGTAGAGATATATTTGCAGTCATATCCTGACAGATACTATCATCTCTCTGAGAAGAGCTAGACCCAGCTTCTTCATCTTGATGCAGTGGCAGATAATTTGTAGTGACATCCATGCCATTATCAGTGTTTGTTGTGGATGTCTCTGCTTCATGATTGCTGCCATCCTTTAGAAACAGCCACCAAAACAATTTCAATATTTAAATTCACATTCAAGCGCATAACCCCAGACAGGAGCTTAAGAATATTTACCTCTTTAGAGCAAGGAATTGACTGGTCAGAAGAATAACCGAGTTCCATTTCATCTCTTGATTCCATAAATTCAGTAAGATGATTTTCTGCCTCTTCTTGGACCTACATCAATATGTGGGAGTAAGCAAAAGCCTAATATCTAGAACTAACATCAATTTACTAAAGCTGCAAAGGTCCCACCATTCGGTTTTTTGCTTCCTCATCTGGTTGCATCGCATTGGTCTGGTCCTTGACCTACATTTGACAAGCGCTTCCAGAGTTACAGCCATGTCCACGGAGGTTTCTAAAATAAATCAAACTGAGTCACATGAACAGATATGACTTACCAACCGGCGATTTAAGTCCTCTATGCTTTTGGAGAGTTTCAGCACATGTAGTTTTAGTGACTGCATTAGTTTGGGCAGAAGAATAATTTAGAAATTAAAAGCAAGAATTTCTGGGAAAAAAATTGGTGAACTATTCACATATCAAGGTTATCCACTTTGCTTTATCTAGATCTATTCAAGGCACCACTTTAAATTCCGAAAAGTTGTGATCTTCAGATCAAAACCTTTAAAAATGAACAGAACTTGTAATTTAGAACAATGTCATTCAGGTCAAGGAGTTCAGTCAACTAATTTCTCTTACCTTTTGACGTTGTGCCTCTATAGAGCGTTTCAGTGCCTCTCTTTTAGTTAGAAGGGTTTGAGGTCTCAGACTTGCAGGCCGCTGATAATTCTTTCCACGATAAACAATGATTGCATAGCCCTTACTCACCCTCTCCACAGCAACTAATATGCCACCACTTTCTGCTTCCAAGACTTCTGCTACATGCTGAGCAGCTTCGATACTCCGTTCCTTACAAATAATCTTCACAAGTTCCCTATACTTCCAGTGAAGATGCATATTCTCTATTGTTCCATCGAAAACACCTCTTCTACCTGAAAACACAAGAATTGTCAAGGCAGAACCAATTAAATATGATCAAGAAATGTGACTATGACTATTTTCCTATTATCAATCAAATCAGAGCATTCATGGAATTGACTGCTTAAAGTGGAAAAGAAGGGGCAAAACAATGTCCCACCTAGAAGAAGGAAAGGCTTCATTCTCAAGCCAACTTTTCGGAGCATATACTTCTCATCTTCAGTGATGCCCTCTTTGTCGACCGAATGTTGAGGAATCTCTTTGCTCTCCAGCTCTGCAAGAACTTTTTCTGCCTTTGCTTTCTTTTCTAAAGCCTAAACAGAGAACTAGAATTATTATTTGTGGCTAAAAACAAAAGGATAAATCTTATGCAGTCTGATGTTTCAGTTGAGGGATACCATGGACAGCATAATGCTAGTTCTTTCAAGGGCTGCCTCAGGAGATTTTAGCTGTTTTGGTCTACTTCCACGGGCACTTATATGGTCCTTAGCATTGCCGGCTTCTCTTCCTGCATCATTTTCTCCTGTTACCTGAGGTTTTATGCCCTCCTCTTTCTCAGGCGGCATATCACTCTTAGCACTTGGTTTCTCCACAAACACTGCTCGTTTTCTCCTTTCTTCTACAGCAGAAGAAACTGCAGATGGTAGGAAATCCTTTCCCCTGTACAAGACAATGAAATCTTTATCCCGGGATAGCAGAGTAGCTCCAGTCAACCACTGCAACAGAGAATTTTTGCATCATCAGTGGATACCGCCGACATTTGGTTGAAAAGACACTTTGGGCCAGAATTTCATAAAACCAGTAATTAACCTGACTTTTATCTGAGACAATTTGAACAGCCAACAAGCTCAAAGTTGATGTGTCAAGTGTGAAAAAAAAAATGCATGCCCAGCAAATTTTTTTTCCTACTTCATGGCATCTCATTAACTGCAATACTATTACTACCTACAAATTACACAAGCTAAAGAAAGCTAATATTTTATTATCAACAAATGCAACAAATGACAGTTTGTAGTAAAAATAAGCCGCCGACCTTTAACTCTTCAGCCATCATTTCACTATTAGTGTTCTGCACACCTCTCTTCACAGCTACCTTGGCAATTTCACATTTCTCCCAGAGCTTGACAATAGCAACAGCTAGTCCTTGCAGTTTTCTATTTCTTCCTAGAAGTAGCCGGAAAGGTAAATAAGAAAATCTTGAAATTCTCTGCTTTCTCAAAAGAAGCTGAACTGGGCTAAAACAAGCTTACCTAGAGCAAAATGACAAGGGAGAGGTCTGCCAAGTCTCCTTAAAGTAGTCATTTCATCATCAGTTAACTTTGGATTCACGCCAAAGGGAAGAAGCCGAAACGGTCTCCTATACCCAGGAACCACTGCTGGCAGAAGATCAGCATCTACCGGAAGAGGGTCATATGCCCACCAATCAGTGAATCTTGGACCTAATCCATCTAACAAACGGTCAGCTTCTTCTACGAGCTTCGCTTCACCTGGTAGTTGAAACCGAACCTTATTTGGAGAACCAACACCTTGGATTAAAGCCGGTCGAACTGTTTTACTATTAGTACCAGAACCAGAAGATTCTGCGTTATTTATTCTTTCTCTTCTGTCAACAGCTCCCACATCTCCTGATGATTCCCCTGAAGCAGTTTCCATAGAAGAACCGTGTGCCAAACTTTGATCAGATATGAAATAAGGGTACTGGTAGTTGACTCCTCTATACAACAAAATTTTGCTTCCAGACCTCCAAACAACCAAGCCTCCAGTTTTCCTCTGAGAATCAACCAGAAAACACAAACATTAGGACACAGCAGAAAGCATCCCAATATGGAAGAACATAATTTGACACACAACTGAGTCCCTTTGGCAAGTAATTATTCAAAGTTCAGAACCCAAAGCAGAAAGGCAGTGAAGCTGCCTGAAATCAGCCTCTAATTAATCAAAGTTCCAAATTTGGTACCAAACGATTTCTCCAACATCTCATTTACTACCTACTGCTATCGGAATGAACCTTCTAATTTGTCAAAATTCAGAATTTGGAGCCAAAATAGCTTCTCCAACATTTATCACTAACTAAAACGAAAGGAATCGTTAGCAACCTCCAAGACGTCATGTGTCCGTTTCATGTTCATCCTGGATATATCCTCGCACACAATCTTCACAACCTCCGACGTCCTCCACCTCTCGTGGATCCCATTCACGATCCCTTCCGTTATCCCAGCCTTCCCAATCTTCAGCTTCTTCGTCAACCTGATCCCCAACGCCGTCAACATACGCAGCTCCGCCGGAGGCAACGTCAACTCCGCCAATGTCGGAACCTTCTCCTCCTTCTTCCGCTCCAACTTCTTCTCCTCCTTCCATTCCTTCCTCAACTCATGGTACCTCGAAATTGCAGTACCAGACCCGGGTTTTGGAACCGGGTAACTGGGCGTGCTCCAGCTCGTATCTATCGTGTGCCCGACCCGGTGTATCGGAATTTGGCTCGGCAACGGGACGAATATCTCCCCAGGAGAGTTGTTCACGGGTTCCGCTTCGGATATTCTCCGGGTATGGGAATTAGGGTTTTCTTCCGTGAATCCAAGGCTACGGAGCTTCTCGGCGATTCGCTGGATGGCGGACTGCGGAAGCGTCTTGGCTTCGGAGGTAGAGCTCCGGATAACGAATTTCGTTCGGACATTATTTCTCCGAATAAGGATTTTCGGTACCGGGGTTGACTCGAAAATTCGATCGGGTATGGCGTTGGGAAGTAACGATGGATGCTGATGATAAAGAGGGAGTGACATTTCTCGCAGAGCTCAAGAAGAAGAAGAAGAGAGTTCAATTTTGCTCCGACAAATTATCAAATAAATAGCCATAATATCCAGAGGCATGTGATTGTCACGTGACTCTGAGCCCGTTAAATTTAAGCCCACACAAATAAAGGCTTGTTCGGGTCGGGTCACGTAGACGCACCCGAAAAGAGTCTCACGCTCGTCGTCGCAGATTCAGCTGTTCGTTTCCATGGCGGAAAATTCCAAGTCATCAAAATGATTAACAAGAAGGGAAATGTAGAGAGAAAGTTTGGAAAATATTTTCTTCTTGTTTCTTATTACAACCTCAATGGTGTTTATATACAACTGTGAAAAAAATAAAAATGATTACAAGTTGCAACGATCCTATAATTAGAGCTGCATATTACAGGGTACCTACGAACATGTAAGGGTAAAAGGTTGTCTGCTAAACAACCTCCCTTGCTCCTGCACATGTCAGTAACCAACAAAGAATAATCCCAATGCTTGATAATGATTTTCTTCTTCTTCTTCGAATCAGATTCCCCAGAAATATTCTGACAACTCGGGTTCGTTGGAATCGTTTTGCGAAATTGGATCGCGGGATCGGCCTGATTCTGCAAGGAACATGGTTTCTGCAAATGGGTGCGTCGTTTTTCACCGGTTTGACCGCCAGTGGTGGCTGCTCATTGTGCGAGAATAGCACAGGCAAGTGTAAAGGACACGATGATTATCACAGGGCTAGAGCTATAGCAACGCTTCAGTTCAACTGTCATTTGGCTCTGATGGTGGTTTTAGCAACTGGGTTGTTCTCTATTATGGCTAATAAGCACGGATTTCGCCGTGAGGATCTCTCAAATTATCAACCGCTCGGAGCTGAGATGACCCATATGGAAAAGTTAAGGGCTTTCTCTCTGGATTCTGATGAGGAGGACGAGTTTATGCGGGTTTGAACGGCTTTGGCCCACATGATTAAGGTTCCTGCTTTTGTTTTCGGTTTATAGTCGAAAAGTAATTGTCTTTTATTGCTTTGGAAATGCTGTTCGTTTGTGTGGGAGGATTCAGTTGATTTTTACATAAGGTTGCACGTTCTATTTTTCCTCCACTGCCTGAGAAACACGAAGTGAGAGACCAAAATGTAAATGTGGTTCTTTTCTATGGATTCTGAAGAGAAAATGTCTCTGTCCATTAGGGATTGTTGGCAATGGCATATGTGCCTGGCCCTTGTTATTTTATATCCCGCTGCTTGCGCCTTTGCTGGATTTGCAAGACACGAAATGAATCCTTTTCACGTATACATACAGAGAATGGTCAGGCATTTGTCATATTTTTCCAGGCACGAACTAATAGCAGAATCTGTGATTTTGGCTGAACTGTAATCTATCCATGTGCCATTGTAATATAAGTTCTTTTGGCTATGCTTAAGCTTTAGTCTGGATGGCCTAGAAACAGTCCGCTCTGTCAATACTGTGAAAGGGAAGCAGTTTCTTATTGGCTATTTTCATCATCTTGATCACTCCTACTCTTGAAGTACTTGCACAAAACTATATACAGCAAAAAGCTTAGTGCACTTGTGATGGCCAGAAGCCAGTAGTAGTTGTCGAGCCGGGCTTCGGACATATCATCAGCAAACCAGTTGTGGTGTTTGCCTCTCAAGCTCGTGATTGCCTCGATGGCCGTAATCAGACCAGCACTGACAAAGCTTCCGACCCCGAACACGCTTGTGTACAGAGCAAATCCCATGGTTCTCATTCTAACCGGGACCTCGCTGTAGAAGAATTCTTGCATTCCCACCACTGTGAAAATATCTGAGATGCCCAGGAGAATGTACTGAGGCAGCAACCAGAATATGCTCAGAGGGACAGTTCCCTGCTCTGAATGAGGTGAAGTCTTCATCTTTTTGCTTAGCTCGAGCCGTTTAGTTTCAACAATGGCTGCGATAGATATGGCAATGATAGATAGGAACATCCCGACCCCCATTCTCTCCATGACAGATATACCCTTTTCCTTCTTGGTCAGTTTTCTGGCTATAGGGATCAATATTTTATCGTATAGTGGCATGAGGAGGATTATGGATAGTGTGATTGCGCTTTGCAGGGTTGCGGGCGGGATTTTGAAGCTGGGTCCAATGTTCCTCTTCATGGTCATACCTTGTTTGGTGAAAAATGTTGCTGGCTGCTGGAAAATGACGGCAAACATGAGAAGCATCGTCCATATGGGCAAAAGCCGAAGCATTACCTTTGCATTCTTCAGTTGAAAGAAATGAGTTCCAGAGCTTGCATCGTCATTTGCGGTTGTGATGGCAGAAGCAGCGGCATCAGTAGAGGCTGTGTTGCTGCAATTACAGAGTGGCTTCTCTTGCAGCCTGTGAATATAAAACAAAGAAAGAGGCAAGAAAACTGTCACCAAGCCTAGGCTGTTCAGGTTATAATAAAGTCATACATGATGCAAGAAACCGGACTTACTCAAGCTCTACAGCCTCGAGATCATCATCATCATCTGCAAGAGTGATTTTGCTTCTATTTGCTCTCCTTTTGATGATATGGAGGATTTTCTGGAAAGGGTTGGCCGTCAAAACAAAGCCAGCGGAATAGACATAGATGCCACAGCCACATAGGAACAGCAAGATGGAAAGGAACATGACAATGGAGAGGATGGAGAAACCGAAAACCCAACCAAAGGTGTCTTGGATGTAAGCCATGACAGTGACGCCCAGAAGGCTACCAGTACATACACCAAAGTACCACCACTGGAAAAAGGCGGTCTTTCGGGTGGATTTGGAGTCGTCTTTGCCAGTGGGAAGCTCTTGGTCGAGGTCGTGGTCGAGCTGGTCGGCCCCAAAGGCTTGGAGAGAAGGATTCAAAACGCCTAGGCCCAGCGAGATCATACACAGTGAAGAGTAGAGCAAGTAAGAAGATATGCTGTTGTTGTTAGACCTTGACTCTCCTAATGCTGTCCATGTCAACCCCACTAGGCCCTTTTCAGACAAAAACCATGCAAAAAAAAACCCGTCTTAGATTGATTACAGAATCGAAACCCCCCCAAAAAAAGTTAAAGCTGTCATTCTATATACAAGTTTCACATAATTAGTAAGCTACTGACAAGTTCCCTCTAATGCCATATTTACACACGGAGACAGGATAGACTTTCCAATCCCACCATTTTTTTTGTCCTTTTTTACCGTTCCAGGTGGTTTTCCCTTCTTACGAGATATTTCCTTTATCGGACTAAATTATAGTAAAGTATTATAAACATTAAGAATCTCTTGGAAAAAGAAGAAGCAAGTAGTGGCAAAGAAACCGTAGTGAGTGAGGAATGACTCGAATTCCATTTTAAGTCAGTTGATTAATTATGGAATCTTCCAATTACTAACCGCAATTAATTATCAACGGATACAATCAAAATACCATATAACCTCCTACAGTAAAAAACAAAACAGCGAATGACGAAACGATTCTGTCGTCAAATCAAAGGGTCACATGTTTAGTACGTCAAAAAAAAAACACGAAAAAGATCTCGATAACGCCTGTAATCATACGGTTGCAGAAATAGTCATGGAAGTGGGTGAAAAGGGTCACATGCAACGTGTATGGAGAGAGAGAGAGAGAGAGATACCACGAAATAGAGGAGAGAGGAGAAAAGAATGGTGGAGAATCTGTCCCAGTAAGAGTCGGCCAGGGGAGCAGAGAAGAGGGGGAGCATGGAAGTGAAACCAGCCCAGGTGTTCACCGTCTTGGCTGCCGCAGAGTTGCTCATCTTCACCATGTCCGTCAGATATGTCACCAAGTTTGATTGCACCCCTTTGAACGCGTATCTCTCCATCCCCGCGATCACTTCCATTTCATACAAATTTATAAAAAAAAAAACTGATTTCATGTGTGTCGGATTTAAAAAGATAGATCCTTTTTCACTGTCCATACGATGAAATCCGGAGGAAATGAATTTGCCCTCAACACGAAATCGGTATATGACCATCCAAGCCAATCATTTGCTTTTTCAACTATTATTATGAAACAAAAGCCCTTTCATTACATGCAGAAGTGTGAAAGAGATTAAGAGAATACCTATAAGAAGGACACATGATTTGCTAAGCCCTCTTCTTGGCCTCTGTCCTTCACCGGCCATCACACACACGCATATATATAGAGAGGGAGAGAGAGAGAGAGAGAGAATCCAAAGAAGGGAAAGAAAAGGAGGAGGCTGCTTCGTGTGAGAAGGGTTTTATATATTCAAAGCCTCAACCATAAAATCTGGTCTATGGGAAGCCGAATTAATGACAAGGATTCAGGAGCAGATATCTGGCCGTTTGTTTCTCTCTCTATTTATATACACGTGTATGTGCGCGTACATATCTGTATTTGTAAAAAAAAGGAAAGAAAGATTAAGAAAAGATAATGGGGAAAAAAAGGAAAAAAGGATTCAGCTTTGGGGATGCCACAACAAATTCCACTACGGAGAAAGGTGAGATATTGGGGGAGAGTGGTCTTATGTCGACATTCACCAATTAAATGGCCAACTTACGTCCCCCTCTCCTGCTCTTCGCTGCCACGCTCATTACATATGCCACGTGGATGCCCACAGTGTCCACGTCACTGCCCAAAAATCATCCTATTATCATAAAATTCACATATAACGATTACGTTTTTCCTTTATATATATAAAGCATTGGACAGTTATTTAGTAACACGGCAAATGCCCAAAAGAAAAAAAGAAGAAAAAGAGAGAGTGAAGCTGACTCATGGTCCAACAGTGTTGACCACAAATTTGTCCATTTGTTTCTTTGAGTTGCTACATAAGCCACAGGATGGGAAAGATTGAAATATAAAACACTCGCAAATTCTGTATATATATATATATATATATATATATATATATATATATTTAGGGATTAGATTAGTAAATAACCAAAAAA